ACGTTGATATTAAAAAGATGCATGAGTTTCTGATTGACATTATCTATGTAGTTTTTGGACTCCAGGTCTTCCAACAATCTGTTAGAACTTCCATGGGTAACAACTGCGCCCCTTTATTAGCAGACCTATTTTTGTATTCATATGAAGCAGGATTTATTGAAAAAGCTACATGAGAGGAAGAAAACGCTTGCTATGGCCTTCAACTCGACATTTAAATATATTGACGAGGAATTATTAACAATAGTTACTTACATTCATATGTCGATTCGATATACCCCAGTGAACTTGAAATAAAAGACACCACAGACTCTAACACATCTGTTTTATATTTGGATATTTGACTAGAAAAAGAAGTTAATGGTAACCTTACAACAAAACTTTATGATAAACGTGATGACTTTAACTTTTCTATCCTAAACTTCCCTTACTTATGAAGCGATATACACTTATCACATGCAAATGGGGTTTATGTCTCCCAGTTGATTCGATACGAAAGAGCATGCTCTTCGTACAGTCAAATTTTGAAACGATGTAAGCTATTTACCAACAAGTTGATAATAAAGGATATCAACAGTCTCGTTTGAATTCATCATTTCGGAAGTTCTAAGGTCGATACAATGACCTTATCAGAAAATACAATCTATCATTAGGTCAAAGCTGACTGACGTTTTTCATACTAATTGTTAAGCCATTATTTACACACTGAAATTTCTACGGATTTTCCGTTTACCCGATCATGACAAGGAGCACACAGCAGGTGTGACGAGTCGATATGGGATGTTTACTACTCCATGGCACCTGATCCCGCCTCTGATGTTTTTGGGTGTCCGTGTTTGCTCTTCTACCGATTTGTATTGTTTGAATTGACTGAGATTGAATACTGTTCGTTATCTCTCTATATTACATTCTTTGAAAATTTTCTCCACTCCTGGGCATATCGGAGGCAAACAGAGTAAAAGTTTTAATAAGCTAGAGTATTTTTACCAGATTTTTGAACATCTGGATTATTTGGTCAAGTTTTCTGGTCCTTGATTTGTATGCTACTGAGAGAAGTTATTACCCTTTGCCATTCACTTTGATAATTAATCACTATATAAATAATGTATTTGAAAGGTTAATAGAATAAGAATTTCATAGTTTTAATAATCAGGTAGACTTGTAAATAATGAGACAAAAATATTTTATCTTATTAAATGTTGTTCAAAGACCAGAATAAGCCAATGTGAGAGTTTATTAGTACAGAAGCAATAACAGTCTGTTAGTAGTCTGCATCGTGATAGTGATAAATGGGGGACAAATCAAAACTTAATTTATGATTTGTTACTGAATACAAGACTAATTACTTCGTGGATCCTGACCATCCTATTTCTTTTGCTTTTGGGCAACAAAGCTTCATTTATCAGTTTATTTTATACTCTATTGATCCTATAAATTGTTGTATTACTTAGGTGACCGTTAAGGTTTTTGTTATGATAAAGGGCCACCTTTTATCATCAGATACATTACGCTACCCGAACACAGGATGAAACTGTGCCATTCAGTCAACTTAATGATTACTGAAAAGCCTGCAAAGATGATCAAAAGGCACAACTCTGCCATTCAGTCACATTTCAGTAGTCTTTTAGTTAACTGAATGGTTTAGTTTCATCCAGTGAAACATCAACATCAAGAAAAGAAAATGGGGATGGAGTGCATTCGCTGCGCAGATCACAAGACAATGTCACAAAGCAGGATCTTGAATGGAATCCACAGGAAAAGAGGAGGATTGAGAGACCTAGGCAAACATGGTCAAAAATCTTTTTAGTGGCAGAGACAAGAGAGGCAGAATTTTCCTGGGTCCAGTTGAAAAAAGCAGCCCAGAACAAAGTCTATATATGTGTATAGAAAACATAGAAAACGATGTTATTATTTTGTTTTACTACAAAGGTATTGTGGGCCTGGTAATAATACTAAATTTAAAGCCTAAAATATAATCTCAATTAAAAAAAAAAGAAAGAATGTAAGTGCCCATCAAACTACAGTCTGGAGACTTCGAAAGCTTTAGCATTACCAATGCTCTAGAATGGACAAAACATTCTTTACAGAAATTTCGATATCAGTGTAATTAACAATGGGTAAAATGTGACGTAAAAATGTAGTTGTTAAGCAGGTTTCTCATTTTATCAAAGGGTATCATGTTTCATCAATTGAAGTCTTTTGATAATAAATATTCATTTTTTTTGTTTGCCAGCAGCATGCTCATGTCATGCATTATAAATCGGTGTACTTGTCAAAATTAAGGATATAGAAGAATTTTTTTTATATAAATTCATTTTAAAAATTTAATTCAATCATATTCTTAAATTTTTAAAACTTGCAAAATCAAAAATACATTTTCTAACCATATATCACTTAATATGTAAATGGTCATTATGAACAATATGTTACCAGAGTATTTTGATAGATATTTTTAACAAAATTACTAAATTTGTCTTTATCTTTTTGATATATTTGATCGTGATCGTGGTGTTTTTATCATTATTTTATGTACATAATTTCACAAAATTTATTGAAATTCATTTCATTTAAATTGCAATTGGAGAAATATTTATTTAAGAACTTTAAACTTTAAACTTGACTACAAATACATGATAAAATTTGAACTGTTAAAAAATATTGTTATTGATGTTAATCCTGAATTGTAAAATATTTTCATGTAAGGTCTTTTTTTGTATTTATGAATTGTGATTGTTATGAATGTTGAATGATGAATCGACTTTGACAGAAATGCCATCAATCTGGAGGGAGAATGATGACGTAGGCATTTCTGTATTGTCTCTCCATGGCATATTTTCTTCATGACAAGTGATTGTCAGTTAAAAGTTAAAGCATTGGGTGTATCATAATGTAAATCATGGCTCTCTTGAGGAAGGAAGAATTTTTTTTAGAGTTGTTTTCCATCAATTTCCCAATCTGTTATAAGGACTTTGATCAGAATTTGATAATTTTTTCCAAGACCTCTTCCTTTTGGTTTAAATTTAAAGGAAATATTTTGAAAATTATATCTGAGTGGTGATTTAGTGCATTTATAAGCTTTGATATTTGAAACCCGCAATAACATAGATGTATTTTAAACGCCATGAAATCCGGCGTCATTTGCTCCTCTGTGCAAGCGGTAAAACAACTTTGGCATTTACTTAATTTTATAAAGATTTGTTCTACATTTTTGGTTCTAAAACGTATTTACGCGCCATTTTTATAGCTTCTTTTACTTTCTTTTAGATATACAAGTATTTAGTTTGAAGCCATTACAGTCTAGGTTCAAAGAGTAAGGGACATGTGGACATGCATTCAGTCAACAGTGCCGATTTTACTGTTGTAGGAGCCATTAAGTCACGTAAATGAAGAATTGATTATTATTTTAAACAAAGAATTGTGCTGATAGATTGTGAATGGCTTTAATTCATCCGAAAATGCTCCAATATATAAATAAAAGAGACCTTAGAAGATATATGTTATACTAAACAATTTACTCTAAATAATATGGAATTGGAGGGAAAAAATTATGTCAAGCAATATTCCAATGGTATAAGTTTGTTAAGGTATGTCATTCGTGAAATTAATTATATCAAGGGTTTTTTGAGAAATATACTTTTGATAAGTATATGTACTCATATAGCATGTCTCAAAATCACAAAGAAAATTGGGGGTCGGTGTGCATCTTACGGTACAATTAACTTGACCTTTTTACACTTAAATTATTACTCTAAGGTTAATCGCTTTGTATCAAACTTCTTATGACTTTAATGCTGATCGCCTGGAAGTATGTGTTGTTTTAAAACAATGAAAGAAAAAGATGGGGCCATTGATGTAAATTTTGAGATCTCGGTCAAAATATGCAATTATCAGGCCAAAAATAAATTTTATCTTGATTTCTTCAATATATCTTCATTTGTTGGCAAAGTCTGTTTAGTGAATGTGTAAAATTTGTTCTAAAAACATTAATTGAAATTTATATTTAATATTTCTGAGTAAAAATATGTGCGACTAAAGTTCCAAGATATTAAGTTTAACAAATGTGTAGATTTGAAGAATTTTCTTTTAAATATGCTTCCACCAAAAAAAAAAATAATTAAAAAAAAAAAAAAAAAAAAAAAAAAAAAGGTTCCCCACAAATCGTTACTTTATGTTTTGTGACCAGTTTTTAAATTGAATGTTATATAATTTCCATTGTTTAATTCAAATATGTTATAAAAATTGATTTTTAATAAATAGTTTTGAAGTGAGAGGTTCTGACAGATCTTATCTCAAAAGCTGACGGGTGACATACTTTAATGGGTTTTCTCCTATCAATATAGGGAAAGTAAATGCTAAGCTTACAAGCTAAATTACATGATTTTCTGCGAAGAACAGGTTATATAGACGTTCTGAATGAGGAGTCTCGTCCTTTAATTTGCTAAAACTTCGTGACAATGAATCTGTTCTACTATGATTATAGCGAGTAGACTTGTTCTTATATCAGTTCATACCTTTAATCGTTCGATATAACTTTCAGGGCAAATCTTACTAGGTAACCAAACAAATTCAAATTGTAGTGTTCTAGCTTTTAATGAATTATAACATGAAATATAACAACGTGATAATACAAGTGTTGATGATTGTCGATAAAGTTGCATTCAAGTACACACATAATGAGTTATTTCTGATTTTTCTCTGTAAGCTTTATTAGAGAGTTGAAGCAAACCTGAACACTTTTGATTGTTGTAACAATAGTAAAGATTTGACATAGGTATTCTTGTACTGAGTATTTCAATTATTGAAAATATATACTGTGAAAAGGTTTAGGATCTACCATTATAAACAGTTATCATATACTTTCATAATTCAATATACAAAAAAAAAAAAAAAAAAAAAAAAACACCTTAAAAGTGTGTTTTTAAACTTTTTTATATTTCAAAACTGGGAAAATAAACATTTACCCAAAACTTTCATTTTGAATTTTTTGAAAGATAGAATTCGGACAAACTTTTATACTAACAGTCTAACGGTAGGACTAAAAAAGTTTTCAAAAGATATTGCTCAGTTACTTTTTTCTCTGTTTTAATTTGGCCATATTTTTAGGTTCTGCAGTGTAAATTTACAAAATTAACCACTTTAATCGTATTCAAGGTTAAGCATTCATAAAAATGGTCAATTAGGGTTTAATGTATGGTGGTAGAAGCACGAGGAAGCACCCGGTCAATACTTTAACAAAGTTTTAAATATAAAAATTCAATTTTAGAAAAATACATTTTTGCAGCGAACAAGACCAGCTGCAGGATTGCATTTAGGAGTGTCTTTTAGAAAAATCTCAGCTTAAACATCATGATCTTTAGGTGACACGAGTCCTCTCCCTTTTTAATGTGTAAAACATAGAAAATTTAAAAACGTGGAATGTAATACAGACATGATGGAAGTGTTATTCGATTATCTTTAACACTTTTTGTTCAGTATAGCTCTTGGAATTCAGCACACCCTATCTTTCTTTTTTTTTTCTCTCTCTCTTTAAAAATACACAGCCTCTATGTCTTGGTATGGACCTACACCGTCTGGAACCTGTCGCTCGTTAGAGAAATTGGATTCGAAAGAAAGATCAACAGAGTTGGAATTTTTAGTGGACTTCGGCCATGGAGATGAATCAGGACAACTCCCTTCTTTCCTGTCTTTTGAGAAGTATAGTCCAGTTTCTCTTACTTTTGATTCTGCGAAAACCGAGTCATCGTGCTCGGAGAAAGGATCTGTAAGACTTGCCGGGGATATTCTAGAGACGATGGCCTGTGTTTTGAACTCAAAGCTATCATCACACTGGTGATTATCAAAGAATTCTCCCATGTCTGTGCATTCTGAGACAGATTCAACATAAGCACCATTACAGCTACAAAGGCTTTCCCTGCTATTGTAACTTGCATTTAAAGCTTCTTCAAAACCGCGATCCGTATTTTCGTCGAATCTTGGTGAAGTAGAAATACCCGTACTCTCTGATGAAGAAATACATTGATTATTAAAGAATGCATATTCCACTGATTTCTCCCTATCAAACAGATCTGGGACACTATCTGGTAAGTCAGGATTTATCCAGGGCAAACGGGATTTATTGTGTTGACGTGAACTTTGAATTTGTCTTTTATTTTTGCGGTTACTTGATAAATATGAATAAGGTTGTGAAGATAAGAGTTCGCTTGTTGTAAATCCATCAAGCTCTGCATCAGTACTTTCACATGCAATTGTTGCAGCTGAATTTGATTGTTTATGAATATTTAAGTTACACTCAAAATGTTCTTCTGCACAGTTTGCCATACATCCAGAATCGTTCTCATCCGATAATTGTTCTTTATCTTTCTGATGTGGATAAAACTGTTCTTGTCGTGTCAATGGTCTTCGTAATTTTTCGCCCTCGTAAAATATCTGTGGTCTTTCAATGAAAGTCACTGAGTGAATTTCAACAGGCTTATTCTGAATTTCCTCTGAGCGCATTGAACTATTTTCTAGAACATTATCAATGTCGCTTTCACAGTATTGACCAGCCACTCCCTCACTTTCGCTTCTCTCACTTGATTGTCGCGGAACCACACGACCCCTCACTTGGATTTGGTGTGTAGAAGGTAAGGTAATATTAGAGGACTTAAAGATTGTTCCACTTGCCGATCTTGAATGACCATAGATATAGACATTTCCACTCGAGGACCGTGAGTGTGTTTGATAGAGACTAGATGAGCTCCCAGAATTACTTCGCAGTCCCATTTTTGGTGGCTTCTTTCTGGGAATACTACCAAATGAACCAGAGTAGATGCCTGTGGATTCTTCGTACAGTCGAGGAAAAGAATTGGAACCGTATCTTTCAAGGTATATCCGTCCGTCGGTGATTGTGGTGGGGTTACTGTACGATTCCTGATATCCCTTACTTGGAATTCTGGGTAAGCTGTCAGTATTAAGACAGTCTGGATGATAATCACTAGACATGTAATACATAGAACGCATGCTTCCTGATTCAGATTTATGGGCGGCCAGAACCACTTCATTTTTTGCCTCCGTATTCATACGTTTTGGTGAAGCACTCTTAAGAGTATCATTAATAAATATCGATGGAAGATTTTTCTTTCTATCTTGATCGTTTCGTGAGCCCGAGGACCCAGATCTGTGAAATTGACTCATATCTCTTGAATCTATTGACCCGCCATTACTATGTACATCAACGTTAACTTTGCTTAAATTGCAAGCTCTAACTTTGTTTTGAATATTAAACTCCATGGAAGATTCTCCGAGGCGCCCCCTTGTGGATGAGCTTCTGCTTGTTCTTTCAGATGGTGATAGATTGTTAGGAACGTGAACTTTGCGTGGCAATGTTTGGACATCTTTGATTTTTCTTGTAAAAGACTGTAACGTGCATGAATCTGGATCTGAAGTTTTAAAAATATATTTTGATAAATTACAAATGCCCTTGTATAAACTATCAGCAAGGAAACACTAGAGAGATATTAACATGGTTATAAAAAAGGTTACAACACACAATGCAATATGAAGCTAACCAACAAAACAAGATTAATTAGTCAAAACAGGACCTTTTGTTTATTTTACATCCCCAGCAGATAGGAATGATGTTCCTGGGCAAATACTTCAACAACTGAACAGATTGGTTATGTAAATTAATCATAAAGCAGCGCAAAGCAACTACATTAAGTAACTAAGGGATCAACTTTTCTCCATGTTCTATCAGAATCAATATAATAGCTTACCCATCCAACCATGTTTCTGATAGCAATTATGTAAAGGGTAAATACTAAATATAAATTGATGCGAAAGTGGCCCATAAAGTAGTCGCTCTTTTGATAGGAAAAGTGTATGATATAGAGTCCGGTCGGACAAAGCCACTTAAATTACCTGTAGTTATAATGTAGGCAATTACATAAGATAATGCTGGCGGGACCTGATTTCGTTTTTTATGAATCACAAGTAATAGATCTGCAGTGATGCATTTGTTATCAGAGACTGAATACAACTCACTTTCTTCGTTGTCATGGTCACGACGTAAGATATGCACTTTGAAGACGTAAGTAATTGCGTGCTTATATCGTCTGCTCCCAAACCACAGGAAATAGGGTAACACCAGAGCCTCGATCAGAGATAACCACGTGACCAAGTCTTCTGATAATCCCCTATCTGTTCCGATGCTCATGTATAGAAATTCTATCACCTACAGAAAGAAATACGTACACATTTGTGTTATTGTATCCAACATATATAAATTATAAATTCCGTTTGGAGCGACTCTTAAAATGGTACAATTAAGAATAGTACGTACATGCATCAGTATAACAACAACATTTTTAAAGTCTTGTCAAATTTATGGGCATTACCAGTATAACAAAATTGTGTTGAGTGCTGAAAATTTTAAGGAAACATTTTTAATTCGAAATTTGATTTGATTATGCAACAACAACAACAAAACAAAACAAAAACGAAACAAAAAAAACACAACCCAAAAACAAAACAAAAAAACCCTTAAATCCTTAGAGGTGTCAATGTTATAATGGGATAGGATATAATTCTTATGTCAATAAATTGTTCAGGGTAACACCTTGATGTTAATGTATAATAACAGATAACTAAACATGAACACAACGAAATCCAAATATAGAAAAAGATGACAAGTAATCAATATTTTAATTATTGCATGAGATCTTTCTTTCGGAGTTCCTTAGATTTATTTTCTTCTTAAGCACTAAAACATCTACATCTACTCTTCTAGAAAATTAAAAATAACTTTCTGCTCGAACATTTTTATGTCCCGTTGGGAATTTACTGCTTAAAAAACAGATGGTGATGGTTAGCAACACCCTTCCTTTTTTTCCCTATTGCTCTCTAGCACCATTGATTTACCCTTATATCCTCTCTTACTTAATCTCCTTATGCTATCTGGAACGACATTTTGAAATCCTTTGTAGTAATAATACAATTATCAGAGAATATTATACAAATGAAACTAATGGTAGGGGTAAATTTTCCCCCCAAAGCCACGCGACTCCCAGAAGAGGTTTGTTTAATTTCAGTAAAAGACTTCGTCAGAGTAGAGCTTAATGGCTGGGGAATGTCATTACCCTCCGTAATATCCACAAAATTTGTATCACGACGATATTTGTCACTGATTTTCGGTGGCTTTGACATTAATATCATTACTCCAGTAAGACTATTAGTTGGTTCTGGTGGCCTGAGGATATCGGACGAGGAATTACTGAAATATGAATCTCAATTTGCAAATTTACAATTTATGCTGGAGCATCTTGTGGAACTTCTCATTTTCATAAGGGATGAAAAATACTAGGCGGCTCAGATGTGACCAGTACTAAAAAACAACTACTCTAATTTTGTAATATTACAAAGTGGTTCGTCTAAAATTTTATAAATTTTAATTAAGGTGGGTGGACTTGGTAATATCCACTCCAAAATAAAAAGCAATGATAAGCATAGTATAGAAGATTTATGCATATTTTCTACGAAGACTTGTGCGTTGGGTATATACTTACAACACATGGTAAATGATTAACAGTGAAACTGAAACACGTCACAATTGTCACCAGACGACAGAGATCGGCGGCAAAGTTCAGCTGTCCATACCGCTCGTGCACGGTGTAATTTTCAGCTAGACCATCGTTTTTCCTCGGTAAGTAAAACCTCCCTGCTCCGTATTTGATAAATGCAATCTTCTTTGCATAGTGAATGAGAGCAATGGAATCAAATGAACACACAAGGGAGATGCAAGTCATTGTTAAAATGAACACCATCATAAATATCAGGAAACCTAGACCCAGGTCGGAAAGCAAAAATAAGCAGTCATTTTTGGTTTTGAAATTGTCAGGAACTGCTCCAATTACAGGTAACAGTCCGACAACAGCGGCCACGCCCCAGAAAATAGGAACAACTATCTTCACAGTGGTAGTCGTGCTGACTTTGATTCGTTTTGTTGAAGTCCTGAGTATTTTTGACCAGTGAAAAGATAACAGTGCCAAATTTGACACCTGGACCATTCGTGTGGTCAGTGCAGTCCATACAAAGAAATTACACAAGTTTTCATTCCATTCCGAGTTGGTTATATTCAACAGCGAAGGAGTAAGAGGAATCACCAAGGCGTTTAACACCATACAGACGAGAATGGAGATGAAAACAACATCGGTCCCGTGAAAATGACAACGGTAATGACACAAGATGGTGACTGAAAGTAAATCTGTAAGAACAGCCAAAGGTGTGAGTACGATCCATGGCAAGGGACCTGTAGTCATATTCCAGGTCAAAAAAGCACAGTCCTCATGCAATAATGGCTTCTAGATCGATCCCGAAGCCATGAACCTCTGCTGGAATTAAAGTGTTCGCTAATCGCTGAATAAGTTTCCTTAGAGAGCCCGTAAAGTTAGGGCCTGGCACAAGATAATTAAGCATGCTGCTAAATGTTCACTGGATCCGGGTGTTGTCATGCTTAGCCGCTTCATCCTTCAGGCCAAGCCAAGGTGCCATAGAGTTGTCTTCTTCTGAAAGTAAATAATTATGAGGTCTTGATTACAAGAATGAATACCATGCAATATCGGTAGTATTGATTGATCACGAGAAGAGAATAGCCTCTCCAAAACTTAAATTGCAGGAAGATACAATGAATACGTCTCTCCCTCCTTTCTTTTTCATTCTATCGCAACGGAAATGGTGCAAAATATGTCCTTACTTCATTTCTTTTACATCTCTGAGACTCTTGTAACGACTTTTTTTTAAAAAAGAGAAACATACAAAAAATGTTTTCTACGTTGCTCCTGGGGCCAGCTCTGATCTTATCAGACTTCAAGATGGCTGTTTGATTTTTATCTCAACAAGTATAGGTTGTTGCTTTCACACGTTATTTGCTTATATTACATGTAGGTCTATAATGAAATCTACAAATTGTGAACCTTATAAGACTAACGTTCTAAATTAGACAGAAACACGACTGGTCATATGTAAACGCTTGCCGAGGGTTTGAACAGAATAACACAGTAAATGTACTTGTAAAAGGAAATACTAGTATGCAGGCGCATGTCGATCGCATGTCCTTAAGGGGAACTACTTAAATTATAAAACTAAATGAAGTATTTCAAACTATACATGACATCGTTTAAAAATGTTTCATTACATGTAAAATAAAATTTGATACGAACCAAGACGAATCTAAATGTACCTAAGCCCGTTGCTTTATTTATTTGTCCACTATAATTAAGAGAAATAAATGTTTTACAATGTTGAAGGACGGTATGTAATTTTTTTTTAAAAATTAAAAATACCACTAAAATATCTTTCTTGTTTATTTTTAATTAATGGACTTCTTCAAAAACATCAAAGTCTACAGGAGAAAAACACATTGATTTTGAAGTTGATATTACAGGTTGTATAAGCCTATGGAACACATGATGGCTTCATTGGGCGTGTCGAATGAGTTTTCCTTTCGTCCAACAAATCGATCTATTTGTCCTCCAAAGAGATACTGATAGACAATAGGCTCGGTATGTCGGATAATGATTATCACATTGTTTTAGTCCCACCATTCTTCCCTGACAATATCCAATTACCCTGTCAGATAACTCACTTCCGGCCCGATTAATCGTACTTATTTGGAAATATGTAAACACAGGACAGGACAGTCGAAATGGAAACTGCTTCAATGAACCAAGTCGAAAGCAGACGAGTTATTGAATGTTCCTTTAACTTTTTTACTTTATCATTTTTTTTTATATTCTAAACGTTCAAATGGCCGTGTCATTGAATGCAATACATATAAGAGGACATTGGGACAAATCAAAAGAACATATAATTAAAAAGACCCTTTCCGAAAACAGAGGAAGTTTACTAATTCTTATACATTTCATTAAAATGATTTCTAAAAACTCTCTCTCTCTCTCTTTGACGATTGAGTAACTGAAGTGATAAGTTCTCGTTCTGTCATTTGCAGCAATTGCGGATGAAAACGTTTGACGAACTAAGATTTCTGGCGATTTAGTATTCAAATACAGTTTTCATTTGCTCTCTCGCTAACCAATAGAAGTGATAAATTCATTAGCATTTTGATTTATTTGGTTATTGTAGACGGGTCATTTATTTTTCCACCCTTTCCATTATGGTGTGATTGCTTCTGTATCAGGATTTTCTCTGTCTGTAGAATACGTTGGCAGATTCCGCATTACAATGATAAATCTGTTTCACCTCGAGAAACCCACTTCTATCCACTTTAATGCAGACGTGACTCTTCTAACTTGCTTACAGAAAGAGAGAAACTTGATGTCGTCGAAGTAATTGGCTGATGTTCATTAGAGAGAAGCATACTGTCATATTACATTGAATTCTTTCTTAAAATTTTGTACAAATACAGTGCACTGCTAGGGTTCCTATTACACCAATTCTACACGAACTACATGATGTACACATGCAAACTCAATGTCAGATTCAACTACATTGGAATAAAGTTATTGAATTATTGTAACATACTTGAAGTTAATTCTCTGTTGTGTACACATAGCCATATAATGACAAAAGGAGATCAAGAATTTGAGTCAAGACACCCCGATGCTTCAACTGATAAAGTCTGATAGTCCTGTGCTTTACATTGTGAAACACATTAGCTTGACACGACTTTATTATGGATGCTTTAGAATTAAATATTTAGGTTACTTTTTCTACTTTAAATTTTTGGATCGTTTAGAATTAAATATTTAGGTTACTTTTTCTAATTTAAATTTTTGGATCGTGAACCCCCCCCCCCCCCCCCCCGACGAACGAGAAAGCGTATAGAAACATACTGTTCATATTATGCGACATTATAATTTTATAATTAACGAGTCAACTGTAGCAGGAGGAAATGTTATATAATTATTGATATAAATCTAATATTTCTTTTTCTTTTTTTTATCTCTAATACATGTACATAGATATCTGGAAAAAGGATATAGGATTTCAATGAATATTTTATATATTTGTCTACACAATAAATTTGGTTTAGTTTAAACAATATCTTATTGACAAAATTACAAACACGTCTAAAACAATTACAATAGAACTTTCATTGAGAAACAAGCCAACAGGCTTAAATATTAATCCCGCTCTCTACAAATACAACAAGTGAGACAATGTAGATATTTTAACTAGTATATAAGACATCCAGAAAAATGTTTTCATATTGTGTACAGTCTCACTTGAAGTGGAATCGAAAAAAAATCTCAAAAAATTTATTTTTTACATAAAACAAACACTAAGCTCACTCATTTATACCAGGACCCTGGATCATGAAACAGACTTTGACTTAAGTCAAATTTTCAATCGACTAATAAAAATGTTTATTAATTATTGAATTATTCTCTAAATTTGCAGATAACTACACTTCTGTAAAACAATATTGAAAAATATTTAAATTTTGGTCTGCTTGACTTCTACATCATCTTGGTAAAATATAAAGATTTTGACTTAAGCTTAAGATTCTTCATGATCCCGGGGGCCAGATCACATACAGATTTTTTTTCCACTAAAACAATGATCAGATCAAAGTAATATATCTTAAAAATAAATGGATAACAAATAATTTTATTTAAAATCTTTCAAATAGAAAATTCTGAACGATAAGGAAAATGTTTTCCATTTCTGAAAGATTTTGTGAACCATAATCTCTCTCTCTCTCTCTATTGAAATATTGTAAGTATAGTTCTATTTTGCGCTCACACAAAATAGTCAGTGTTTAAGAAAATGCTCGATAGTTTTAATCTCACCATATGAACATACTAAGTGGAGAAATACAAAGATTTCTACGGAGCATACAAATGTATGCATAAAGATTCAGAGAACTACATTCTGTCAGAGTTTTGTATGAAGAACTGGATAAATCAAAAAAATATATATATCAACCAAACCACTATGAAAGCACTTCAGTAACACTAGAAAGTTACTTACAATGTAGATGATTGTACATTTATTCAAGTTCAAACCAATTCTTAATTTATGTAATCGAATGACGTTCTGTTTACCAAAATATGTTCAATATTTTGAATGGGCATCTTGTAAGGTGTGTAATGCATTACCTGAAGTTTCAATATTACAATTTAAAGATTGATAAGTCTGGTGTATTCTTAATTCATAATTTATAGATGCATTGTACAATACGAGTGGGAAGTCACACAACACTGAGGCTATGAGTATGAACTAGGTGTGTTTCTTTCGTTTACTTTATTGGATAGCAAAACCTGGATACAATGGTGATGGTGCATAATAGAAGAGGAAATTATACGTGACTTTTTTACTTCCTCGATATGTTGACATTAAAATATGAATATCTTTTAGTCTAATCTGGATTTCACTCCAGAGCATTGTAAAATCCGGAACCAGATAAGCCTATCAAAATTGAATATACATCTATGGTAATAGTAAATGTGGTTGCAGACTTGTAGCTCACCAATCAGGAATATTAGAATTTGATACTTTAAAAAAAAATAATGAGTAATAAAGTATAAATAGTTCCTTTTCTGTATGTAAACCATAAGTTGTATAATTGTCTTCGATTTTGATATTGACTTAATTAATTAGATCGGGTGTATCGACAGAGTATAATAGCATACAATCAAAGTATGATTGCAAAAGTATTGCCTCAGACAGGATATGACATTTAATATAAATAATGGATACGAAAAGTTATTGAAGTGTAAAAACGAAATTCTTCATATCAGTTATCGATAATATTCTGCAATATGTCTTTTTTATGGGCTGGGTTAGGGGGAACAGGACGTAAACAAGCAATATAGTGGATTTTCAATTTCATAGTCATGAACAGTAGCTTAATAAAAACTGTCAAGCTATGTAATTTTGTTTCAGGAACTGGCGTAGAAAATCGAGGCATGTTGATCGATTGGTAAATTTCTTCCTCTAAATAAGGGAGTCTTAATTCTTTTTCATTTGAAGATTTCATTTTGATATTTTTGTTTTTATTCATTTTTGTTTTGATGTGTATTTTGCTGACAGTATCGAAACAGAAGGATAATTTCCTCTATAATAGGAATTATAACCTTCATAGTTATTTCCTTGATTTTCCTGGAGTAAAATGTGCTTTTATTAAAAAAAAAGTATTATGGAATAAAAATATACACAGATTTTGGTCATAATTTACAGTAAAAACGCAGATTTTCTTCAAAGCATTGCTCCTAGTACTTTTTTGTGGTGGTGGTGGTGGGGGGGGGGGGGTCTTTACGATAACGGGTTTACAGTTTTTGGTCGATGAATATAGAAAAAAATTATTCATACAGATTGGGACTAAATCGGATTTCTCTCATCTTTTTCCGAGTTATGCCTTCAATCCTTCAATCACAATACATGTCAGTGATTTTTTTTACGTTTCAAGATGATGATATACCGTTGTCAAAAGCAAAAACATGCTCAAGTTAGAACTCCAATCAACACTGATCAAGGATTCTTCAGTTACGAAGCTACACCTAATTTATGTGTCTTATTGCCCGTCGACCTTGACTTTAAAAATATCTGAATCAAAATCATGACATACCATAAGATGATGGGCAACACGATATACTTAAGTTTGAACTCATTCCAATTTAAGGTTCGAGTATTGTTGCCCAAATACTATTACACTATCTCATTGCCCAATTGATTACAAACAATAACGTGTACTATAAAAGTTTGAACCTTAACCAATTCGAGAAAAAAAAAACAAAAAACGGCCCGCACATGATTTTTTGAAAACACATACTACCATGTAAAACCCAATTTGTCTCCTCCGGCTAAGATCTAAAATGTTCAGATCTTGATAGTACTGTTTACGAACATGCAGTGTTTTATGTATATATTTAAAAAAAAGCTTGTGCTAATCGCTGCCGTAGGTGCTACAAGGGTAAGGTCAATATGAACTGTACATATAGCAAAGTTTTTTATTCAGAATATATATATGTTTGAAAAATACGCTTAAAGCTTAATGAAATATGTATGTTTAATTTTTAGTTGTAAGTTATAATCGATGGCATGGGAAGAATTTTGAAGCTTTACTTATGGGGAAAAAATTGTATAGCAGACCCCATTGTACTTCAAATAAGATTTTCGGATTACTTCTTGGCAACCACATGTAACCATTAACTATAAACATTGGAGAGAGAGAGAGAGAGAGAGAGAGAGAGAGAGCATCCAATACTTATCAAGGAAGTGTCCTTTATCCAATATTTAATATCATTTGAATAAAAAAATTAAAATAAAAAGGTTTAATTATACATTTTTTCGAAGACTTGAATACAAGTAGATGTGCAGGCGAACTGTGATTTTCTGTTTGAGTCCCTTGTTAACAAAATCGTGTGCGGGGGATCTGACAATATTACTGTTAACATTGTGGCATATATCACCAGCAAATAGTTCTCTGGTATAGATGTCCCATAACGATCGGAATATTGCGGGTTTACAAGCATTTAACACCATTAATGTATGGTCTACATTTTTTATTAGCATTAAAGACATGTAGGGGTACGAAATTGATTTGAATAAAAAAAAAACTAAAGGAAAAGCCTTGGGGACATTTATAGATATTTAACAAGCAGATGTGACGATGATTCAGCATAGGATAAAAAACGTGATAAATAAGCTTGCTTTAAATCTTTTAATGATTTATGTCGGTGAGATTTATACAAAATAATTGATTTCCGTCATAAAATAGAACATATGTACAGTAGCCATACTATAGTTCTTTTACTACTGATTGCATTCTTGGACTTTTTTCAACAAAGCAAAAACGAAATACCTGTATGTAGTACACATATATATAGGTAGGAAGGTGGATTGTAGCTACTTTGGCTCCGTCATTGACCACTTGATGGACTTTAACGGACAAACCAACATGAATTATTTAATCCTAATCGATACATGACAATGAATACTTTAAGCTTTTACGGGATTATCATAACTACAAGTGGCGTGTTTGTTACTTATTTACCTAATGTCAGAGCATGTTCATCCATAGATAATAGCCTTATATTTAACAACAGATGATAGGAATAAATCGTGTTACCTTAGAAATCAATGATCACAACAGGTGAATCCCAGATAAATTCAAGTTGCCATGGAAATTTGATCAAAATTTGTTCTACAATCAGAAAATTATATTTCGTGCAGGAAATATTCAGTGTTAGCGTAAGCATATCAATTTGATCTTTTCAATTCAATTGGAGAAAATTTATATAACGCATGAACAAAACACAAGGAAACGAGAGAGAGAGAGAGAGAGAGAGAGAATACCTGTCCAAGTTGTGATTATTATCATCCTTGAATTTAATAATACAAAATGCTATCATTTCTTTGTTATTGAAGTCACAGTTTTAGGAGCAGGTGTCTTCTAATCTATCGTCACACACTGGATAACTCACAATGGTTCATTCAATTTTCTCACCATAATACTCGCTTTTGTACGATCAAAATCAAGATTATCCAAGCATTTCGACACCGTGCCCTGGGAACGGGTCACTTCTGTTCTCATATGTGGGCGAGGGAGGTCTTAATTAAGCTTACCTGTGTAAGGCAACACATGGACCCCGTCATAGTTCAGGGTGTTGTTCTCTATACAGATGCGCATGTCATTTTTTTTTCTTCCACATCGATTTCTGACAAACACTGCAACATGTGTTTAACAATAAAACGGAACACACGTTTTCTTTCTTGAAAGGATTATCAATAAAGAAAAAAAAATCTCCTTGAAAAAAAAAAGATTCCAATTACTGCACTTTGTCAAAATAAGTTTATTGATCCTTCGTCACACTTGATCTGATGCGAGAATCGGCAACACAATCCATCAACAGAATTAAAGGGATAATATAAATATTCATTAAATTCTTGATTTAAATCAAGGATTTGCGAGTCTTTTATGGCTTAAAAACAGTGTACTTCAACAAAACCTTTCTAAAATCAAACTATCTGTGAGTGTTTACTCGTGTTTTTATTCCTTATTATTTCAACTTCAATCGAATCATTTGAAAACTTTTGGTATAGATGAAGAAATGTGATTAAAAAAGCAGGACGTGTTTTTTTCTGCTATTCTTAACTGACAAGCAACCATTAGATTTACGCATTGTCGTGTAATGGGATAAAAGAAATGTGCAATAGGATTTCATAGCAAAATGAAAAAGCACTTTAATATATGAAATTTGATCCTGATATCGAACCGAATGACTGTCCCTCGCTCAAATCGACAAGTCTTTTAAACTGACCTCCTGCCCTTACCTACTAAACTTTCAGTGTAATGTTTTAATAATTGCACTTCCACGATGATATTCGTATTTATAATTATAAGTGTTTATCGTTTGAAAAAATTACTTCAGGAAAGGAAAAATTACACACACCTATATGCTAATCAAGTTAAACATCTACTGTTCTGCGATATCCAAGTGGGAAGTGGGGTATCGTAAAAAGCATTTTTCAGAGCAATCCAATCTTTGCAAGCTATAAGGGTTTTCGGAGTGGAACAAAAATCCTCGGCATATATACAAAGATGATCGAGAGCCAGTCTTTTGATAATGAATCAAACATGGATAAAGTGATATGTACATTAAGTATGGTTTGAAATGTACATTAAATTGATGTCTCACAGAAAATTTATAGTTCAAAAATTAGATTTCATTCTCTTTTCAATCACGCAATTTTTTTCTTATTCGTTCTTTGGTTAACCAAAATGGGTTGGGGATGTGTATCTACAACGTACTGGATATGTTGATTAATACATGTACAGTACAATGCTACATAAGAAATAAAAGACCCATGGGCTACAACGTTCACCTGCAGGCCCGTAGGAAACAATTTCATTGGGGGGGGGGGGGGGGGGCACAGCCATACATTTTCAGTTGGGGGCACTATCAACAACCAAAAAATCCTCGACAAGCGAAAAAAAAATAAGGTCATCAGATGTTTTTATCGAGGGGGCATAAGCATATAGTAGCTGTTTTCTACAAGAGAGGGGGGAGCACGGCCACGGCCTGAGTCACTATGGCCCTACTGTTCATTTATCCCCTATACTCCTATGTAAAATACTGATCATATATTGTGGCCTCACCCTACCCCCAGGGGTCATGGTTTGACCAAACTTGAATCTACACTACCTGAGGATGCTTCCATATAAATACGACTGTCCATGGCTTTGCCGTTCTTTGAGAAGATCTATGTAAAACCACTCCTCGTTGCTCCACCCTACCCCAGAGGTCATGATTTAAACAATATTGAATCTACTCTGAGGATGCTTCCATATAAACAAGATTACCCATGGCTTTGCTGTTCTAGAGAATTTTTTCTACAATACATATTAAAATGTAAAACTTTGATTACCCCCCCCCCTTTTTCCAAACACTACTTTTTACTAAATGTTCATTGAAAGACTGGGTGCCCCCCCCCCCCTTTTGTTGTAGTATAGTCAAATAAGGGTAATGTAGCATTGGATGAATAAAATTTGGTCCTGAAAGAAGTTGGAACCTACAAATATATTACTGACCTAAAGTCCTTTAAAACATTTATGTTGCAAGGTTAATGACAAAGAAACACAAAATCCACTGAAAACTATTCTGTACTGCAAACACTCATACTTTATGTATAAGAAGTCTAAATAATAATTCATCATCCTTATTTGTAATGTTGAGAGAATCATAGTTGGGTACATACCAAGGTCTGTATATAAAAGATACAAAAAGAACAAACTAATGTACAGTTGTCACAGCTCGTATTTATTTAACATCCTGTTGAATATTTCCCCATACAATGGTGTTTCCTCAATGGTAACAGGTTTTATTTTTCTCCAACACACACAGAGAATATATCAATATCTGTCTCCAAAGTCTTACTAGACTGGAAACTTGGTATTGCAACAGTTGTTCAATCATGAGTTTGAGCATTATATTCACCCTTTTATAATGTGAGTACCAATGGAATTAAACAAGTTGCAGTGGATCTTCTTGAGGTATACTGATAGTTAGTAAATACAGTCATGCTTAGTAAATCCAGACGCTTGTGTTCCCAAGAAAATTGTCCAGATAAAAGAACATCCAGATAACTAAAATGGACTTTTTACAACTGGCAGAAATATTAATTTTGTTCCCAGAAAACTGATCAGGAAATTGAAGCGTCTGGCTTATTGTTGTCTGGCTCCATGGGGCTCCACTGCACTACACTGTAAAAGTGTGTGGTCAAATTTCCACAGCTACATAATGCAAAAAACTGCAATACATGTTCACTGTAGCATTTGAGATATATTTTAAACTTTAGATAAAAAATTCACTCTCAGTAAGTGCTTTTTAACTTCCACAGGTTGTATATGATGATAATAATAAAGATTTATTTACAAAATTGGAGAAAAAAATCATCTTAATGAAGATGGTTCTGAACACTAACTTTTGTGAAATTGTGAGGTAAATAATAATATATTACATATATAAATTAAGTGCTGATCACTGTTTGACAGTGGGAAGAATACTCATGTTAGAGCTTCACACTGTAACATGGAGTTTATTATAAATTTGGCACCATCACAAAAATTAATGTGTCAGATAGAACAGTATAACAATACAAAAGACACATTGGTACAAAATCAAAATAAGTTATTCCTTAAATAATGAAAGCACCTTTTTCTTATGGGAAAATCCATATTGGAAAATTTGTGAACAATTTGACACATGCACAAAAAGCATTAAAACTTATTTTGAATTGACCAACAATTCACATGTTGTAGAATTCTAAAACATCCTGTTTTATCATCCACAACAGCATGTTATATCACAATTAATTTTAAAGCTTCAAATAAATTTAGCGTACTTCTAATCCCAAACAGGAGCTTGTAATGTACATGTACTTCTAAATACATGTATCTTGAAATAGGCATTTCTTATTTGAAACTCCAAATGTCATCCTCTATACAAATCAACACATGTATACTGGTAAAAAAAAAATTAGTTGTAAAGCAATACCAGGTAAAATTGCATTGATTGCCTACATCTAATATTTTTTAATCAGGTATAGTATAAAAAAAGAAAAAAAAAGTTTTTCACTCAAGATGACAACAATTTTCTCATTATTCTGCATTTTCCCCTTCCATTCTCATTTAGAACTTGGAATAAAATCTTTCTTTCTGGTATTTTCACCGATACATTTTAAAAATCCAAATGAATGTACATGTGGCATAGATCTTGTGAAGTGCCAAAATTAAAGCAGTGATATCTCTGGCTTGTTTATCACTGACAGATTGATAAAACAGATGACATTTCAAATTCAGAACTAACTGCCAAATGTAAACAAATCTAAATATGAAAGACAGGTAGGATGTGTCTGCTGTATAATATTCTATCTTCTTGTTCTCCGTATCGGTTTTCTGATTGGACGGGGCTTGGCCTGATTACCGGTATTTCCAGATCCAACACTGAATGTAGGGGTCCCAAAGTTAGGCTGAGTTATGGGCCCTCCACTTGGGGTTCCAAATGAGGTATTACCTCCCCCTGCTGAAAACACAAATTTTCTTTAATTTGTATTCATACATTTAGATTCAGAATTATTAAATGAAATGACATTAATAGTGTCCAAAACTATTGAAAATTCAAACATATCTAATACTTAGGGATGTCAACGAATATTCGATTATTCAAATATTCATTCAATGAGTTGATATTCGAATAAGAATTTACTATTCGAATATTCGGTTTTTTCCCAGATTACACACAAAAAAGATAACTATGATTAATTTCGAGGACAACAAAATGAAACCCTTCTTTGTCGGTCTAAAAATGTGAAGAGTTTACTTGACAAAATAAATTCATTGATCATTGAATTACATGTTTTATAGAATTAGTCTGTAATATCGTAAAAGGATCAATTTCAGAATAAACTGTGTTAATTACTTGATTATCTCGGGTTGTATATATTCCAAATTTTAAAAAATCATTTTAGGAAAATAGTAAATTACCTACGAAAATTGTCCTTGGAAGTGTTTGTTTATGTTTTGAAAACATTGTATCAAGAATTATAATTACAACTCTTATTGGGTAGATAATTGTAATTAATTACACGCATTTAAATTTGAACAGTATCAGACCTGCCTACCCTTTTCATTGCGAGGGTGTAATTTCAATACTCATTTTGGCTGAATTTCAGAGATTACGGCGTAATCCTTTATGTTTCCTTAGTTTGATGTTTTGTAATGATACTATATTGTCTAAATAAACCTGTAATTGTACATCATTGAACAAAGCAAGCATGAATGTTCCGTTTTCAAATCATTTATTGAAAAAGGCTATGTGTTGTAAAACTGGTATCCTAAATGCAGTCATATCAAATTTATTTAATTTACATGCCTAATGAGCTTTTGGAAAATTTATAGAAAATCACATAATTCAAAGTTTCATTTGCATATTAATACAAATTCTACATTATTGCGCTATTTCGTTTTTGTTTTCCTTACATTTACTTGTTCTAATGTTGTTCTAAGCAATGTAAGAATAAACGGAATTCAAAATTAAACTGACTTTACTCATTGCACATTTCATTTAAAACTTTTTTTTCCTTAATTTTGGCATGCCTCCTGTTTAAAAGGCATAACTACAAAGTATATTAGGTATGTTGTTTGTATCGTAAATAATCAAATCGTGAAGAACCGAAACCCCCTATTAATTAGTATTAATTACCTTCTCGTTTTTATTTAGGAAAGCCTTCACTTTAACTTCCAAGTTAGCCTTTCATTAAGTTGTCTAGGAAAAATATTAAAAGTGTAAACTTAAAATTCATGGCGTAACAGCGTAATTTCATGGTAAAAAGCGGAAGAATTACGCCAAAAGCGGAAGGGTAGGCAGGTCTGCAGTATACGACAATCTTGCCGTTGGTAAGACGATCGGCTCATTGTTTAGAGCTTCAAGATATAATTTTTAGAATTATATTTCGGATGTTTACATGTGCACTCAAATCAATATATTTATTTCAAACATTGACAAATAGCAAATGTAAAATTCCTTACTGTAACCTACAAAATTCTACACACAGTTTTTCTTCAAATCTGTCATGAGGGTAAGATGATGCATATATAAGATTAACTAAATCTTATCGAATATTTGAATACATTCAAATACTTTCATTGAATATTCGAATATGAATTATTGACAAAATTGACATCCCTACTAATAATAGATTTTATATCCCTACACATTTTTAATAATCCCAGTAGGGCAAATAATGCTTAGGGTTCCAGGTTAAAAACAAACTAAATGAAATAGGGTAAGACTTTCTCATCAAACGCATGGTCAAATAAATTAATTATATTCACCATAATGTACAAGTTAAAAACATTTCATTCTGTATGGTTTTATTTTAAGAAATTAGGGTTGAGAAGAGAAAAAAATGGGGTCAGTTGGTAAACCCTAAATGTAAAATATTTTTTTAAAATTTCTATTTCTTTCTTTCTTTTTTGGGGGGAGGTGGTGTGGTGTGGTGTGAAGGGGGGGGGGGGTGTTTTAATTGGTACATACCTCCAAAGTTAAATGCACCTGGAGCTAATGATTGTGAAAAGTCAAATCCTTTGCTTGGATTTGCTGGAGTGGACTGGTTTGGAGTTGCACTGTTATTCTGAGGTGTTCCAAAATTAAATGTTGTAGATCCTGCTGAACTCTGAGAGTTTTTCAATGGTGTTGCCATACCAAAGTTGAACCCTGTGCCACTACCATTCATACTAGAAGTTCCAAAGTTTGGTGAACTAGCAGATTTGGTGAATCCTGGGGCACCCACTGACTGCCCAAAAGCAGGAGGATTTTGAGACTGTCCAAAAACAGAGCCTGGTTGCTGTCCAAAACTTGGTTGCTGCTGTCCAAATGTAGTCTGTTGGGTTGAAGGCGTCTGTCCAAATGCAAAAGATGGCTGAGGAGCTGTTTGCTGTCCAAATGCTGACCCAGACTGGGTGTTTGGATTCTGCTGTCCAAAGCTGAAGGATGGCTGAGCTGGCAGCTGTCCAAAACCAGAACTGTTTGTACTTTGTCCAAAACCAGATGTTCCTTGTACAGCTTGACCAAATCCTGTGTTTGTTTGAGACCCTGCTGGTTGTCCAAACACTGCTTGTGTGTTGCTGGATTGTCCAAAAGTACTGAGGGAAGTGTTGCTTCCAAATGCTGGAGTCTGGGATTGAGAAGTTTGAGCAGGTGGCTGAAATTGTCCAAAGACAGAACTAGACTGAGGAGCAGATGGCTGCCCAAACACACTGCTGGCAGCTGTGGTGGTCTGTCCAAATGTAAATGTTGAACTTGATTGAGACCCAGCTGACTGTTGTCCAAATGTGGTGGATGAAGTTGATGAGTTCTGGGTAACTGCTCCAAATGTAAAGGCTGGCTTTGGTAGGTCTGATTTTGATGTAATAGTAGCACCAAATAGCCCTGATCCTGCTGAAATAGATGGATTACTTTTGCCAAAATTGAAACTTCCTCCTGCTGTAGAATTTGAAGCACCTCCAAAGTTAAATCCACCACTTGTTGAGGAAGTTGTGGATGAAACATTTTGTCCTCCGAATGAAAACACCCCTGCAGCTGTTGAAGTTGTAGGTTTGGGAGCTTGATTCTGAGTCCCAAAGTTAAAACCTCCTGTAGCAGTTGATGCACTTGAAGGATTGGCTGTCACTGTACCAAAATTAAAACCTCCTGGAGGAGATGTAGTGGAAGCTCCAGAGTTTACACCCACTGATGGAGCAGATGAATTGCCTCCAAAGACAAATGTGCCAGAGGTTGTGCTAGCAGGGGTAGTCTCCTTCCCTACTTCAAAACTAAAGACACCTGCAGGATTTGCTTGAGTAGCAGTTGTGGCTTTGAAATTAAATCCACCAGGGGCAGACGGAGGCACTGCATTAGTGGCTGCTGGACTACTAAAAGAAACCCCTCCAGTAGTTGTCACAGTTGATACGGTTGTAGTTTGACTTCCAAAATTAAAGCCATTAGGCATCAATGAAGAAGCAGTAGTAGTGGTTCCACCAAAGTTAAATCCTCCCCCTGTTGATTCAGATGTTGTAACACTACTTGCTGATGATATTGCACTTGAACTTTGACCTCCAAATGTAAATCCTCCTGCTGTTGATTTAGTTGTTGTAACACTGCTTGCTGATGACAATGCACTTGAACTTTGACCTCCAAAGCTAAATCCTCCAACACTTAATGTAGTGGTGGCTGTAATTGGTGTCGAGGCACTGGAACTTTGGGTTCCAAAGCTAAATCCTCCTGGTGTACCAATGGTGGGTAATGCAGATACAGCACTGCTGGTTGCTGAAACCTGTCCACCTGTTTTAAAACCTCCTTGACCACTGGAAGAAGATATGAGTGAATTTGTTTGTCCTCCAAATACAGGAGATAGAGCTGATATGGAAGCTGTGATGGTGCAGCTTGGTCCACTAGAGAGTATTCCTGATATGGTAGTTGAAGCTGGAGTAGAGGATGTGGAGACAGCTGCTGTAGCTAGTGATTGTCCAAACTGAAAACCTGCAACATAACAAGAGGTAAATTGTTTTACACTTTTGAAATAAAATATAAAATTTTTACAGTTTGACAAAGAATCCATTTTCTGAACTTTTAGAGTGTTACCTGACACAGGGCTAGTTTTTGTTGCAGATGAAGCTGCAGTTGGGAAACTGAAGGGTGCAGCACTGGATATAGCCCCTGAGGCACTTGTCACAGTGGATGTACTACTAGACAGACTGGCCATGGAACTAGACTTGCTAACATCACTACCAACACTTGGAGAGCCACCAAATGAAAATCCAGCTGAAGCCAGAGGTTTGCTGGCTGGTGAGACAGAGTTGGAAGATGTGGTGGTATTAACAGAAAACAGGGTTGGGGAGGCTACAGAGGAAGCCATTGTACTAGAAACTGGTAAAGAGCTGGTCACAGAAAGAGGTGTGGTGGATCCAAGAGTTACTGGGGTGGTGATATTAGCCAATGGAGAAACAGCTGAAGTTAATGCTGGAGCTGCTGTTGAAACAGTAGTGGAGCTGGTAGTCTCTAAAATAGATAAAGAAGATGCAAGTTAAAGAAAAAACCTTGAGAAATATAAAGCTCATTATGAAGCATCAAAACAAAATCAAGTATTTTTTTAGAGATGGCAATCGAATACAGAATTGCTAATTGGTTAACCGCAAGACGTTCCGACCGATTAACCGGTTAATTGTATCGTATCAAATTACACATTTTTGACTTTTTTCATGTATTTGTATTTATATACACAAGAAGACTGAAAGAGAGACGCAGTTAGAAGTTAGAAACATTCTGCTCATTATCTTGATCAGGAAACTATATGTACATATAACTTATTTTATTTCAATTCCAATAGTTAGACAAAAGAAAAATAAGAAAACCATGAATCTTGCCTGAGAAACCAGACACAGAAAGATATCTTTCCAGTGCAGATGTTGCACAAATTCATACTTCATTGTCACAGTAATCAAAGTTTTGTCCGAACTTTCTTCTAATAAAATAATAGATAACGGCAAAAGATCGATATGTATACATACTCATTAAAAGTACTCAGTGGAGATTATGTAAAATCACTAAAGTATAACGGGACGATCAGGGTACCAATATAATGTTTTTAAAAACAGTAATTAACACTTCACAAATGGACCAATTATTACCCTGCGATCTCAATCCGGAGAGCCATAATTACCTCCAAATCAGCTTAATAATGTGTAAAAACACTGAACTATCAACTTTTATGCAGAGATTTCCTTTTTTTAAAAATGAAATTTAAGAAAATTGCGTTCAATTTTACATACATGTTTATTAAATTTTCCGACTAACCGATTGCAGATTTTCTAACCGATTTCCATCGTTCCGACCAATTAATCGATTAACCGGTTACAAATTGCCATCCCTAATTTTTAAAATTCTTTTGATTTTAATACAAGTGAACATAATAATATATCTTTTTGATTTCCAATGGAACTAGTGCTAATTGTAACGGGAACCGTTACAGATGTTCCCCAAACGGCTCTCCAATTCCGTATGATGCCCCATTCCCTACAAGCTTCCATAAATTAGACAATACTTTTGTAATATAAATGAACACTTTATTTTTAAGGGTATTTCATTGGAAAACTACTCCGATACAGCCATATGGGTATCAGCCAATCAAATTTCAGCGCATGTGCTTTCACATTAATTTTCTTATAGTGTCTCACAATACATACATTGTGTTAAATATTAAAGAATCTCATTGAAAAATAAGAGAGATGTAACCCTTTAAGTATTAGCCAATCAGAATTCAGCATACACGCATGCATGGCCTTGCATTCAATTTTGATAGTATCATAATGTAGGAGCTCTATGTGCCTATCCATGTCGTAAATTTCATCCTGTTTTGTTGAAAACCAAGGGAGTAATAGACATTTAAAGTTTCAACCAAACAGATTGCAGCACACCTGCATGCACGTGTTTTCAAGAAATTTCCTATATAACATGTTGTAGCACCTTATAATATATACTTATATTCTAAATTTCAAAGTATTTTGTCAAAAAACATGGAATTTATTGAGATTTTTGTATCAGCCAATCAGAGAAGAGCGCACGTGCATGCGCATGAGTTCATGCTAATTTGACCATGTTATCTTGTCTAGACTACTAATACATCTTTATATTTTGAGTTTCAAAGCAATTCATCAAGAAATATAAAAGTTACGGCTTCATCAAGTATATCAGTCATTTCACTTATTGCACGCGCGCACGTGCATGCAAAATGAACTTCGTTCCAAACACCTACACAACATGCCTATTAACCCTAAAAAGGTTTCATGTCAATCGGATGAGTGGTTCTATGAGAACACTCCCGGACAAAAAAGTATTGGAGAAAAAAGTAGAAAAAAAGAATAATTAATAATAACTAGAAACTCATTACTAGTAATGAGAAGTTCCTCCGTTATACTACTTCCTGTTTGCATGAACATGTCTTATCCAACGTCGCTATCAGCCTAAAACTTATGTAGAAACAAAATAACTTAAAAAATACTTTTTTGCTTCGTTTCTTGTCACCACCGGAAATAATGACGAACAACGATTTTTACACGAAGCAAATAAACTGATGACTGACTATAAGTCCTGAAAGTTTTAGACTTCAGTCTTTAACTGTTGCCGAACAATTGTGAGAACAAATTCTAATTCTGAAGACAGGAAAACACACGACCGGAAGTGAACTGAATAAAAATCTCTGAATTTTCTCTTGACTTTTCCAGTATCTACAGCATATGTAAAAAAACATTTCAAATACTTATCTATAAGTGATATTTATGAGAAAGTTAAACCACGAAATAACGTAGTTTATCTCTTAAAACCGGAAGTTTAAAGTTTTTTTTCCGGTGGAATCTAACATATTTCAAAACAGCAAAAGGGAAGCAATTAAGTGATGAAAGTTTTAATTTTAAAAAGAAAAGTTGAAATTTTCGATTTCTTCGATCACTTGCTGTCACGACCGGAAGTGACGGCTGATGCTTTTAACCCCATGTGTTTTGCCTTCTCACCAAGTTTTATTATTCCTCTAAGTTTGGTGTCTTACTTTCATGCCGTTTCCGAGATCTTGCTGAAATAGCTTTTCATTTTGAGGACAAGAAAACACGCGACTGGAAGTGAATTTTACTAAGATATTTCACGTCACTCTAGACATCTGCAGTCTCAATAACATATATAAAAATCATTTAAAGAACTCTATCTATAAGCGATATGTTGGGGAAAATTCAAAACCCCTATTATGTAGTTTTTCTCTTATAACCGGAAGTTGTCGTTTTTTGTTTCCGAAGGGACCAACACATATCGTAACTGTGAAAAAAAAACACAATTATATGATGCAAGTCTTAATCCAAAAGAGAAAAGTTGAAATTTTTGATTTCTTTGATCACTTCCTGTGACGACCGGAAGTGACAACTGATGCTCTTAATTCAAATGGTTTTGTCTACTCTTCAAGGTCTAATATTCCTATAAGTTTGGTGTCTAAATCTCTTACAGTTTCTGAGATCTCACTCGGATAAGTTCTCATTTTGCGGACATTTAAACGCGCAACCGGAAGTGAATTTTACAAAGATATTTGACATTACTCTAGACATTTGCAGTCTTGATAACATATTCAACAAGAGGCCCATGGGCCACATCGCTCACCTGAGCACACTGGCTAGACTAAGGCACAAATCAGTTCAGTAATGAACGGGGGTGGGGGGGGGGGGGGGGGGGGGGCTTGAATTTAAAACTACCTAATGATGCTTTTATGCCAATATAACAAATGAATTTGTTGTACTTGAGAAGATTTTAAAAGAATTTTCCCTTTTATTCCTTTGTAAAAATTTGATCCCCCATTGTAGCTCCTCCCTATCTCAGGGGTCATCATTTGAACAAACTTGAATCTACATTACCCGAGGATGCTTCCATATCAATAAGACTAACATAGCTTTTCTGTTCTTGAGAAGAAATTTTTTTTTCTATATGTTCTTATGTAAAACTTTCGATCCCCCATTGGGCCCCACCCTACCCCCGGGGGTCATCATTTGATCAAAATTGAATCTACACTACCTGAGGATGCTTCCATATAAATTTGACTCATCATGGCTTTACTGTTCTTGAGAAGAAGATTTTTCCTATATATTTCTATGTAAAACTTTGATCCTCCATTGTGGCCCCGCCCTACCCCCGGGAGCCATGATTTGAACAAAATTGAATCTACACTTCCTGAGGATGCTTCCATATAAATATGACTCTTCATGGCTTTACTGTTCTTGAAAAGAAGATTTTCAAAGATATTTCCTATATATTTCTAAGTAAAATTTTGATCCTCCATTGTGGCCCCGCCCTACCCCCGGGGGTCATGATTTGAACAAACTTGAATCTACACTACCTGAGGATGCTTCTGTATAAATATGACTCTTCATGGCTTTACTGTTCTTGAGAAGAAGATTTTTAAAGATTTTTCCTATATATTTCTATGTAAAAT